AAAAAGTCTTGCATATTATCGAAATAGCTATATCCCCCATACAAATAGGCTACTTGATACCCCTGATGCTTGAGGGTTGAGCCTAAACTTTGTAAACCTTTGTTTTTTTTTCGCATGGGAATGGCATGCCCAGGCAAGGGCGGCAGTGACAGCGTGATGGCCTCGAGGCCACGCGTTGTTCGTAAGCCTGTGGCATAGAAGTTATTAAATACGAGTCCCTCTTTAGCGAGTTGGTCTAAGTGCGGTGTTAAGTGCGCCCTATTGCCAAACATGCTCATAAAATCAGACCCCATGCTTTCCATCGAAACCAGTATCACATTACAGTGGTGCGGTAAACCCGCTCCTTTAATGTGGCGCATAAACGATTGTTCGGAAGCGGCAACCCTTTCGTTGGGACCCGCCTCATTTTGTAATGTAGTACGCACAATTTCCCAAGCTTTTTTATTAGGAAGCAAGGGATAATATTTGGCATACGACAAGCTATTCGCATGAAAAGCATAACAAAATTCGTAATAACCGTTACCCGCCCATTCTTTCGCGGTATTGGGCAAAGCGTCTTTCCAATCACGAGAGACAAGCGCATAGGAAACCAATGGCAAACATAATAAAACTAACCCCATGGGTAGACGTCTACGCCAACCATACGCTGGATGTTTGGTTAAAGGGTGGCTTTTTAGATGGCTCCAGCGCCATAACAAAGCCGTGACTACACCTAACCCCACCAAAAATGGAATAACAGGGTACGATTGCCAAATATTGCCAACCACTTCTTTGGTATAAATCAAATAATCAACTGCAATAAAGTTAAAACGGGCCGAAAACTCATTCCAGAAGAAAAATTCAGATAAGCCAATAAATAATGACAATAAAATAAGAATCAACAAAAGCCCAGCACTGATTGTGGGGTTAATGGTCACTAAAATGGGGTTGAGTTTTGCATGGGACGCTTTAAATGACCTGATGGATCGCGCTGCAACAGCACAAGAAACCGAGCAAATCCGAGAAATGCTACTGAAAACCCCTGGTGTTTTAGGATTGCACGGTCTACGGACGCGAAAAGTTGGCGACTTAATTCTAGTGGATGTTCATCTCGAAATTTTTGAACACATGTCGGTCAAGGAAGGGCACGATGTGGCTATTTTGGCGCGGCAACGTGTCATGGAAAAATATCCGGTTTTGAACGTTATGACCCACGTTGACCCCGTCGAATCACCTTCAATGACGACGATTAACTCATAATAAACTCTCATTAAACAGGTAACTTTTAATATATGAATTCCGCCACCCATCCGCCAGTCTATATTTGGGATCGTTTTGTTCGCTTTACCCACTGGAGCGTAGCCTTTGGATTTTTTGCCAATCGTTTTGTTTTAGAAGACCAATGGCATGAATATGTGGGTTACGCTATAGTGAGTCTGATTATCCTGCGTATTTTCTGGGGTTTTGTGGGCAGCACCTACGCGCGTTTTAGTCATTTTCTGCCTAGCATCCCACAATCCTCTCAATACGCCAAGTCAATTTTATCTGGCAAACCAACCCCGTATATTGGGCACACCCCCCTTGGTACTTTGATGATACTGAGTATTTGGCTGGGTTTGATTGCACTTGGACTCACAGGTTGGATGCAGACCTTGGATGCGTATTGGGGAGATGAGTGGCTTGAAGAGTGTCATGAGTGGATAGCTAATGGGGTGTTGTTATTGGTTTGTATCCATATCATTGCCGTTGTTTTAAGCCTTCATCGTCATCCTCATCGACTCTCAGATCCTTGTGATAGGTTCTTTTGGTTTGATTGACTTGATTTTGGAGCAAGTCTTTCGCTTTGTTTAAGTCATTATTAGCAATGGCATCTTCAATATCGGCATAGTCAGCTTGCAATTCATGTAGACCATCCTTGTAAGTTGCTTTGATCGCTTGGGTTTTACCAAAGGACTGCTTACCCGCTTGATCTGTCGCCTTTTGCAACACGGCAAAATGTGAGGCAAATTCTTTAATCGATCGACTTTTTAAGGCCTTTTTGTAGGCCCTTTGCATGACCTCCATGGATTTTTCAACAGGGCTATCAGCCCAGACCACACTTGCAAAAGTTAACATAAACACAGCAAAAAACAAACGATAACGGCGTAGATAATTAGACCTTAACATGACGAACTCTCCTTGTGGTTAAACATCGAGCTTTTGGTGAAAACGTTTTTCGGTTTCTCGAACCTTTTCTAACCATTTTTTTGCTTTCACGAGGTCATTGGCGGCAATGGCATTTTCAACCGCTTGATAGTCCCTCTGTAGCTGTTCTATGCCCTCTTGATAGGTTTTCTGCATGCCACGATCCCCTTCGTAAGGCATTTTGCCAGAATCTTGCGTTTTTTTCTTTAACTGCATGAAAGCATTTTGAAAATCACTCATGTTAGTGCTTTTCATTGCGCTGCGGTAAGCGCGTTTCATCTCCTTCATGACTAATTTGACTTCGCTCGTCGCATAAACCGGTGTGACGGCAAAAGCCGTCAACAAGCCCAAACTGAGCAATAGGCGACCACCGAGTAATTGCATTTTTTTAGAGGTTAACTTCATTATAGGTCCTTGTAGTCTTTTGTTAATTTCCAGGTATTTCAATTGGATTTGAGCCGTTTCTCAGCTGGCTCAAATCCAATTGAGAGATGCCTAGGCGTACACAAAATGCTCCATTAGCCGCGTACTTCCTGTTTAACAATTTTTTTGTCAACGGGGTTAAAATAAATTTCTACTTTTTTGTTGGACTTGTTACGACCATAAATCTCATAACAATTCCCTTTGGTCACCTTAAACACCTTAATTTGATAACCTTGTGCTTTTAATTCGGATTGAAAAGCACCGGCATCTACCCATTTTGTTTTGGGCTCAAGGGTGCATTGTGGTCCTGCAAGAACCTGTCCTGCAGTTGCCATAGCTATCAAACCTGTGGTAATAAGGAAAATTGGGTTTTTCATATAACATCCTATCTGTTGAGGGGTTAATACCAAACCGCCATCAAGACACACAATTTCAAATACTATTTGAACATAGAATCTAAAATATAAACAAAACAATACTCAACATCTTGATAGCGGCTTGACATAAGGGCAAAGCGCTCTGCACATGAAATATTTCTTTGCACAGACCATCGTATTATCTCATTTTATGTGCTTTAGATTAAGTCATTATTAACTTTTTAGGAGAAAAGGCATAAAAATGCCTTGTACCCATAGCCAACAACATGCCCAATCTACAACCCGGTTTATTATCTTATCGATGTATTTTAATGGTTTGATTAAGTTGTTTAATCAATCCTTTAATTTGATCGACCCTTTCTTGATAGGTCTGGGTTTTTGTTGTAAAGGTCAATTGTGTCGAGCCAGTAAGCTTAAATCCTTTGTGTTGCTGAATCAGCAAAATAAGCTGACCCGGATCAATGGGCGTATGGTTGTCAAAGTGAATGTGTATTTTTTCTGCGTCTGCTTTAATTTTCTTTACAAACAAAGGCTTAGACAATACACGAAGCCAGTGCGTTTGGATCAGACAGTCTGCGGGAGGGGGTAAAACACCAAAACGATCGATGATTTCTTCTTTGAGCAATAAAACACCTTCTACTTCGGTAGCTATAGCCAAACGTTGATATAAGGATAGCCGTATTGGCACATCAGGACAATAGTCTTGTGGCAGTCGTGCTGAAAAACCCAGATTCACTTCAACGGTAGCGTGAAGGGGTTCATCGATATCGCTCAGACGCCCCATTTTCATTTGTTTAATGGTGTGTTCGAGCATATCCGCATACAGCTGAAAACCAATCTCCTTCATTTCCCCCGACTGCTTTTCACCTAAAACTTCTCCGACCCCGCGAATTTCCATATCGTGCATAGCTAAGAAAAACCCAGAACCGAGCTCCTCCATCTGTTGAATAGCCTCTAGGCGGCGTTTGGCTTGCGCCGTCAATAACTTCATATCGGGCACGAGCAAATAAGCGTATGCTTGATGATGAGAACGCCCAACACGCCCGCGTAATTGGTGTAACTGTGCCAGACCAAATTTGTCACTCCGCGCTATAATCATCGTGTTGGCATTGGGGACATTGATGCCGGTTTCGATAATGGTCGAGCACAACAAAACATGGGCACGACCTTGCACAAATTGGCGCATAATGCTTTCCAATTCGCGTTCAGGCATTTGCCCGTGACCAACCAAAACGGAGGCCTCAGGAACCCACTCGAGCAATTCGCGTTCGCGCTGATAGATCGTAGCGACATCATTGTGGACAAAATACACTTGCCCTCCCCGCTGAATTTCCCGCAAAATCGCTTCGCGGATCAGTGAACGCTCTTCATTGCGCAAAAAAGTTTTGATCGCTAAGCGTTTTTGTGGTGCTGTGGTGATGACAGATAACTCGCGAATGCCTTCGAGTGCAAGACCTAAGGTTCGAGGAATAGGCGTTGCCGTTAAAGTTAAAATATCCACTTCAGCGCGCAGGGCTTTCATCCTTTCTTTTTGACGAACACCAAAACGATGTTCTTCGTCAATAATCACGAGTCCTAAGCGATTAAATTTGACATCGTCTGACAATAATCGATGTGTCCCGATCAGAATATCCACTTGCCCTGTTTTCAATGCCTCTAAAGCGGCTTGAATTTCTTTAGTCGTTCGAAAACGCGATATTTCAGAAATTTTGACTGGCCAGCTAGCAAAACGGTCACTAAAGGTTTGAAAATGTTGCTCTGTTAGCAAAGTCGTTGGTGCTAATACAGCGACTTGTTTGCCCGCCATAACCGCTAAAAAAGCCGCACGTAGTGCAATTTCAGTTTTGCCAAAGCCCACATCGCCGCACACCAAACGGTCCATAGGCTTGTCGCTTGTCATGTCTTGAATCACAGATTCAATTGCTTGCAATTGATCAGGGGTTTCCTCATAGCCAAACCCTTCAACAAAGGCCTCGTAATCTGAAAGCTGTAGGGGAAACGCAAAACCTTTGCGTTGCGCACGTTTGGCATACAGATTTAAGAGTTCGGCAGCCGTATCCCGAATTTGTTTGGCAGCTTTTGCTTTCGCCTTTTCCCACTGCGTTGAGCCTAAACGATGCCATGGCGCATGTTCGCTGTTCACACTGCTATAGCGAGATAATAACGACAGTTCGCTCACAGGAACATAGAGCGTGCCACCATCAGCATAGGTCAGGTGTACAAACTCTTCATCACCCGTACCTAAATCCAGATGGATGAGTCCTTGGTAACGGCCCACACCATAGGTTTCATGGGTGACAGGGTCCCCCACCGAGAGTTCTGCCAAATCTCGGATGAGCAAGTCTAAGTCTTGGCTTTTGAGCTTTCTCCGATCACGACCCCGCTCCTTAATACGGGCAAATAACTCCGTTTCGGTCAGGAAAATTGTTTTTTCGGGAATCACAACAAACCCTTGCTGCAATGGAGCAACGGTTAGGTGGATATGCCCCGAACTGGCATCACGAAAAACTTCTTGCAGGTTAAGCGAGGTTTTTACAGGCAGTTGATTTTCTTGTAATAGGGTTTGTAGCATTTCGCGCCGACCTAGAGTGTCTGCACATAGAATAATCCGCTCTTGAGCAGATTTGAATAAAGCGGTCAGTTGTGCCAACGGTTGGTTTTCACTGCGCCCCATATGAATGTCAGGGGCTGGATCGTAAAACGACTGGGCCAAATGTTTATCGCCCTCGCTGAGTTTTAACTGCGCATAGATTTTTGCCTTAGCAAAAAAATCATCGACTTCCATGTACAAGGCTTTAGGTGGCAAAACCCGTCTTTCGTTATCATGACAGAAAAAATCATAACGTGTAGTGGTTTCCCTAAGAAAGTCACTCATCGCAGCGTTAATATCCCCATGCAAAACCAATTGCGAATTTTTTGGAATATAATCAAAAATTTAAGATAATATTCTATTCCTGACGGTGCAATACCATTTCCCACCTCTTTATACAAGGGAAATCGACTAGCGTCCCCCTCAAATCGCTCACGCCACTGACTCCGAAAAAGACTTCGTGCCGCTTCGTTAAAGGGAAATTCTCGCGCCGGCAACATCCGAACTTCGGGAACTTGGTACAAGCTTTTTTGAGTATCGGGGTCAAACGCACGAATACTCTCAAGCTCTTTGTCCAGTAAATCTAATCGATAGGGAAGATTTGAACCCATCGGAAAAAGATCAATTAAACCACCACGGATGCTATATTCGCCTGGGCGCAGGACTGTTGATACGGCACAATAGCCGGCCATTTGTAACTGGTCGCGCAAATGGGCACCATCCAACATTTGTCCTTTTTTAAAATCAAAGGTTTGCGAAAGAATATGAGTCGGCGGGCATAAACGTTGTATAGCCGTTGTCGCCTCGATAATAAGAATCCGTGTCAAACCTCGATTCAACGCATATAGCGTTGCCAAGCGTTCAGAAATTAAGTCTTGATGCGGTGAAAAACGATCATAGGGCAAAGTTTCCCAGCTGGGGAATTGTTGAATATTAACTTCCGGAATAAACAAGGTTATTTCGTTTGCCAAGCGCGTACAATCGACCGCTTTAGCACAGATAATCACCAAGGTTTGAGGTTGGTGATGCGTCAAGTAGTTAGCAATAAGATGGCTATCGCATGAGGGAGCAACTTGATTAACCGTAAAGGGAATACCCGGTTTAATGGCTTTGAGCAATGAGGTCATCGATAAATCGGCTAAGCACGTTAATGTTAGATTTTTAAAATTTGCAGATTTTGTCCTGCCATAGAAATTCCCCTATTGGTGCATAGCGAATGGGCTATGTTAATATGTGCCGTCCATCTCTTAGGCACACCCCCAACATTCGTAGTAACTCTAATTCTCGATCAATCGTGTCATTTGTCACGCCTCCTAGCCTTACACTGGTAATGTCTTCGTCGTTTCGCTTACACAATAGATCGGAAAATGGAATAAGACGACCCGAGCCCAACGACTCTGATTTCGGATCAAACGCACTGTTTGTCAGCCCCCTCGCCATAATTTTGCACAACACCTTGAAAAACAAACAGTTAAAAATGTAGGCAAGTCCATACCAAAATGGTTATCCTTGATGATACGGGTTATGGACCGAAAACGGGTTCATTATTGAGTCGCGGCAAAGGGGTCCGAGCTTGCGTTAGGTGCCTCCACTTTTTCTACTTTAACAGAGGCTTTTTTATGGCGACTATCGTTTTTTTTATGATCCGATTCAGTTTTTGCCTTATTTTTTTTGGCATGTGTTTGATCGTTGATGACTCCGATTTTGTCTAAGACATTTTCACTTGTTGGCGTTGGGGCTTGAATGATCGAACCAGATGCCGTACCCGATGCTGGTGCGGCCTTATTGTCATTGGCTTTTGCTTTCTCATTAACAGGTTGCGTCGACTTATCGGTATTTGCATCCGTAGCTGCCGCCCCTCCTGATGTAGCTGCATCATTGGCTGGTGGAGGAGTAGTAGTGCTTTGCGTTTTAGAATCAGGTTGCGGCGTAGCAGGCACATCTGGTGTAGCAGGCACATCTGGCGTAGTAGCAGAGGTTGTGGCGGGGGCTGAACTTGTTTCTAGCGGGCTGCTCGCAGCGGGGGCATCCCCTTCTGGGGTTGTTGTCGCCGTGGTGATTGGCACGCTATTGACGATAGATCCGCTTGCTTGGTTAGAGTCCGAGACACTATTGATTTGGTATGGGTCCTTATGACAGCTCCAATCTTGTGCTGTTTCGCCCGTATAATGGTCGCCGCCAAAAAAGAAATTATTTAAATTGGGGAACGTCCGCTCAAACCAGGAAGGCTTGCCAGCGGGTTTAGCTTGAGCGATCACTTTATCTTCTTTTTTGCGACCATCGCCAAACAAACGTTCTTTCATGTGGTAAATTGGGGGAAACAACCATTCGAGCAAGGATTTGTTTTCCATCTTGATATCCGCCTCAAGGGTCATACCAGGCTTAAAATTAATCAACTTGCCTTCTCGGGAGAAAATTTTCCCATTGTTAAACCTCTTGATATCATCAACTTCTGCATACACCTTATAATACATAGCCGTTTCTGCATTTTGAGCTTGCAAACCCAGTTCTGGGGCCGTGTAAGCACTTGGCGGAATGTAGACAAGATTCCCTGTAAATGTACCAAATTTTTCAACAGGGTAGGCGGGGAAGGCCATTTTTGCACTTTGATTACATTTAATAAAAGCCCCTTTTGACGTAGGGACGTACAACTCCGCCCATAAATTTTTGGAAGGCATGATTTCAATGACGTCAACTTTGTTGGTGATTGTACTGCCTTGATTGATATCCAGTTTACTGATTACACCATCTGCAGGAGCATCAATGGATATTTCGGTATTTTGTTTTGTTTCTAACTCACGAGCAGATAACTGCTCTTTTTGGATGTTAAGTTGTGCCATCCCTTGATCGAGTTTTCCTTTAGCATCTTCTTTTGTCGCACGTAACTGCGTAATCGCTTTTTCATTTTCGGCCAATTGCAACTGCATGTCTTTTTGTTGGGAAATGAGCTGCTCATATTGTAGTTGTGCTTGATTGTATTGTTCTTTTGAAACAATCCGTTCATCAAACAACCCTTTAATTTCATCGCGTCGGTCCTTGACTTGTTCCGTGAGAGACCTTAAGTGATCAAGTTTAGATTGCAAAATAGTATGGGCATCTTCATGTTCCCGAATAACTTTGTCCGTGTTTTCGATAGCACTGCGGTATTGCTCGAGACCTGCTTGGCGCTGTTGTTCAATCTCATTGCGTTGTTTATCCACATTTTCTTTAATGCTCGCTGCCAAGCCTTCGCCATTATCGGCAGTGGTGTCCCGAGTTAACGTAAACAGCCGATCGCCTTTTTTAACTTCTTGATCTAAGGTTACATCTAATTGTTTAACAATCCACCCTGAAGGGGCTGCGACCTTAACGACTCGAGTGCTAGGTGTTAAAAATCCTTGCACTTTTTCAACGTGAGTATAGTCAAGTTTGATCAACAAGAAGAACCCGACTAGAACCGAAAGCAACAAAAGGGCGATGAGCACAGTAAGCGGCAAAGGGATCGCTACGACACCTTGGATAATATAGCTTAAGTTAGTACCTCGTCGAATATGGGACACCCCTTTTTGCGGGCGTTCCATTTGGCTCATGACGCGGATTTTTTCTCGGAAACTTGGCATAATATTATAATATTTAATAGGTTATATCAATTGCGTACGTACCAACTTACTCGTTATTTTCAATAGCACCACCACCTTTAGGCTTCATTAGCGGATGCGGCTCATAATAAGGCATCATATGTTCCCAAAAATGCCAGTAGTAGGGCTTCTCAATCAAAGTTCGCTCAAGCACATTGACAATTTTTTGTTCAGCGATTTGTAAACGTTCATAGGTCACCGGCTCATCTGCCATAGAATCAATGGATATTTCGGTATTTTGTTTTGTTTCTAACTCACGAGCAGATAACTGCTCTTTTTGGATGTTAAGTTGTGCCATCCCTTGATCGAGTTTTCCTTTAGCATCTTCTTTTGTCGCACGTAACTGCGTAATCGCTTTTTCATTTTCGGCCAATTGCAACTGCATGTCTTTTTGTTGGGAA